GTTATTTTTCTGCGAAAACTTCGTTGAACTTTGGAGACATCATTAATATAAATAATTTTTATGGCAGTTGAATAAGAAATGTTTCTTTCACAAGAAATGTATAAAATTACAGTACTGTATTAGACTTACGGTACCTAATTTACATACTGTACAGACGATACTAAACAACTTACTCACCTAAACTCCGCGGCGTGGCGCTAGACAGCGGAAAGTATATATATAATTATAATAAAGTTAAAATAAATTAAGTTAATATATAATTATATATACAGTACCTAATTTATATATAATACTGTACAGATGATAGTAAACTCAATTTACCCATCTAAACTCTCCGTAGCCTGGCGCTGGACGGCGGAAAGTAGTTCGGCTGCTCGTCCGCGATGATGAGTTGGCGATGACGTTTTACGCGTCCCTTTTAGCGTCTTTATACAAATATTGTCGCAATTTTTTCGCCGCGTTATAGGAATCTACGTTATAGGAACTCGTGTTATAGGGGGTCTACTGTACTTCAGTTTGGTACACTTTAAATATCTAATGGATGTTATATGAAACAAATTTAGTAAAGATTTGAAAATTTTATGATAAATCATATCCAGTGATAAAAATTAAATGAAATTATTGCTATTATGGTTCTTATAGCAATTTACAATTACATAAAACTTTTTAAATTCATTAATTTAATTAATTAAATTTTAAAATGAATTAACAATAATGTGACGGTCCAAAACCCTTTTGTTTTAGAACAGTATCACTCCTCTAATAAACCTTGTAATTAGGTGTAAAGGGAAAAAGGGGACTTCTACGGTCAATGACCGAGACAATCTCCTCAAAAAAAATCGTTAGTATATCAATAAAAGAAATCGTCTCCCTTTGTTTAACGGTAATTCTATAGACGTTAATATCAACAAGACAGGAATAAGAGATGTTTCTTACCCTCTCTTTGGTTGCACGTGACATGTGGTTACAGCAATAAATTGCCTCGTTCGTAGTCAAATGCGACGTTTGATATAAACAATATCTAGAGTGTTGATCGGTTTACAGAAATGATTGTCAGATGAATGTTAATTTATGGATGAGAGCTGTCAAACCTATAAAATTTATATTATATTAAATCATATCTTCTAGACACCAATAGCAATAAATTAAACAAACTTCTCTGTGCCAGTTGTCTGTACAAGCTAGATCCAGACATCAACACACGAACAGGTGTGCATATAAATCATTAATGATGTCATAGTTCTCACCCCCTCAAAAATAGTATAAAGAGGGCTTGAACGCAGTCCACAAGGCGGACACCTCCAGGGCGGACATCGACTGCCACATCTACTGACCCATACCGCCATAACTGCCGTGACGATCCAGGAACGTTTTTCCAACGACCCATATTACGGATCGGGAATTTAGAGGTATTGTTTTTTTGGATATCTATTTGTATATTCTCTCTCTCTCTGCGAAATCTCTCTCTGAGAAGTCTCTCTCCTAGAGATCTCTGTCTCGTCTCTTAACTTAGAAAATAGAGATTAGATGTTTCATATGAAAGACAAATCATTGTCGCAACATAGAATAGAATTTTTGTAGATCTTTACCTTAGCCTTTGATATATACAATTTTATAATTGTTTATTAAATGTTATTCTTGTTCAACCTGTGTATTCATTTGGGAACCTGTCAACATACTCATTAACCTCCCCACTCATTTTATTTTGCCCTCCTATAAAGCCATCTTCTGATAGAGCCGCCGGTAAGTGGGGACAACTAACCCCCTCGGTTCTCACAATAAATTAACATAATAAATATATTTTCCTTCTATTAATAAAACAAATTTTAAAATATTTGAATGAATATAAATTTAAAATCTGGAGATAATTAGTAAAGAAGAAATCAAAGCAGTTTAAGGAATAAGAAATAAAAATTCGAACAAAAATTTCAACTTTTTTGATCTTGAATGGGTTTTGAATTGATGTTTTCTCAGCAATTTAATAAAGATTGATTATTGCTGAAAGTGTTTTGTTAATTAATATTAATAAAGAATTTGCTTTCAAATAAATTTGTATCTATTGAGCTCATTTGTGCCATCATATGAACCACTAGGAACAAATAAAACAAAATATTGTCTGCATTGTACTATATGACACAAACTAAGTTAGAACGTGATTGGTTAAAAAAAAGGTTTCAAACTTTAGTTGTGAAAAGTTGATTGGTCTGTAGTGCCAAACACTATGTATAGTTTGTTCCATTTACTTTATATATATATGTCGTGTGTCATGTCAGGTTTTGCTGTAAAATTCCATTTTATTTTATGATACTGGATAGTGAACGGGTTGGACCCGTCGCTCTTGTTGATTGGTCAGTGACCAACATCACGTGTGTTTCATGTCACACCTAATGGCGGGAAGTATAAATATTAGAACTCCCGTCCAAAAGAGGACTTTTTCCGGTTCCTGTTTCTTGAGCGATCAACAGACTACGTGGTGTAAGAATAAAGAAGAAGAAAGGGACTGACACGTGTGAACTTTCGAATGAAGAGAATGGAATCCAAATCCATCATAGAGAATACGTCTGTTGGTCACGAAATAAGTTCAAGATATTAAAACAGGAAACATAGAAGGACCTCCGAAAATTATTATTTTTGTCGGTATGTTGATTATTGTCTTTTTAAAAGGAGAAGTAATATCTTCAATCCTTTTTCTCGTATAGTGTATGTGTTCCCTAATCTTGTAAATTTAAATAGATTTATGTTCCTCTCATGTTTTTGAATAGATGAATGTTTTGTAAATATTTATGATTAAACCTTTGTTACTAAAATTTCACCAGATTTGTAAAGTCCTTAATTTAATTTGTCTGTGCCTTGACCCTCTAACATCACCTAACAGACCTAGGTCTATTGGGGCTTAACAGGTCAAACAAATCAGAGATTGGAAGAAGTTGAGATATTCTTAACTCCTAACAAACTGATCAAACACTTGCTAAAAGGGAATAAACTGGAAGTTCATATCTATGTGCCATATGAACCTAGTTTTAATTGGAAAATGAATCATAACATTATACAACTGTTATAATAATAATATCACAGACCAAATGATGAGGAATGATGAGTTTTTCAAGAACAAAACAGTTTATTAAATTTAATAAAATAATAAAAATATATTGTAACTAAAAGAAACACGAGAATAAATGTTTGGAAAAAAAACTCAAACACATTCTTAGAAAAGAATCATCAAAAATTGACATGACTCAACCTGATTGATTGAGCACACTATTAAGCAAAGCATGCTTAATTTAATCATAGAATTGTGTAATTCAATTTGAATAAAGAGATATGCCACATAACATATAATAAACATTTTATAAGCTTAATTTTATTTTAATTGAAATCTGTTTCTAGTGAATCCTCATTTAATCGCTTGTGTTAACTTTAATTTTCAAAAACATGCATATGTTTTACAGATTATTTCTTTTATTAACATAGCCGACGGTATTCTTGTTGTTGGACAAGAACAAGACGGAAAAGGAAGTGGCTTTAGTTCTCCAGAATCATTTATTGGATCCATGTCATTATTACAAATATGGGATTATGTTCTTACTCCAGAAGAAATATCGACTTTTACAACCAGATGTGATAATTATAAAGGAAATGTAAGAGCTTGGTCTGATTTTCTTGGAGGAATTTTTGGACGTGTTGAAAAGAAATCTTCAGATTTCTGTAGAGGTATTAAGTTTTAGAGTTACAAGCTTCTTTATTAGAAGTATGGAATGTATAAAATATTTTGTAGAATTAAAAAATTAATTATATTGTAAATTTAAACTTTAAAAATATAAATTATGATATAATTGGTGAAATATTCTATTGAAAGATCTTATGTAAAAAGATGCTTTCAAATCAAAACGTTTGGAAAAAGACCAATAATTTTAAAATATTAATAATGTAAATTTTTGTTACAAATGATTTGTTTAATATATAAAATCATTGGAATGCTAGATTGTAATTAATCATTCAATTCCTCTAAAGGTGACTCCACACATTTGATATTTGCCAAGTGCTGAGAAAACATTTGGCCAATACCGAGTAGTGTGGGATGACTTACTTGTGACTTTACTCAACAAATATGCTTAATGCTTTTTTGAGTAGGCTTTTAGAAGTGAATTCCTACTCAAAAAAATATCATTCAATGTATATTATCAGAAATGATGATATACTTTGAATGGCATTTATATGCTGCTAACTTTAAAAATCTGTTTGAAAAACAAATTCAATATTTAAATATAGAATTTTAAAAATAAACATTCATTTAGGATGTAACACACCTGCTGTCCTCATTCATGGAGATGTAACTGTTAGTGGAGTAAAAACAAATGCTTTAGCAACTTATCTATGTCATCCTGGATATAAGATTACAGGTTCTGTGTCTCGTAAATGTATGGTATACGGTGACTGGTCTGGCGAAAGTCCCTCTTGCACCCGTAAGAAAATATTATGTTCATTTCTTTAGAATAGTCTAAAATGTATAAATGCATGAAATCCCAAAAAATGAATTATGTATTATCTAACGATAATTCTAAATAAACTACTATAGGAATTTCGTGTGGATTTCCTGGTTATTTGAATAATGGATTTATCAGCGGAAGATCTTATCTCTATCAAGATACGATACAGTACTTTTGTAATTCTGGCTATCATTTAAAAGGAGGGAGCATTCGCACTTGTCAAGCAGACGGTTATTGGAAGGGAGAACCTCCTTACTGCGAAGGTAAGAGAATTATTATAAATCATTTTCAAGATCAGGATGTTCCATCTAGTAGCCTGATTATGTTAGATAATTTGCCCCCGTCATTATTGTTCATTAAATGAAGGATTTTCATAAATAAACATTTCTACTCAAAACTGTAAAAAACAACTCCATGAGTATAAATGTAAAAAAAAGAAACTTGAAAACAGTTAAAGGAGTCATGATATATTAATATATTGAGATTAAGTTTTTTTTGCAGTTTTTAATCCCATATTCAAATCTATCAAATTCTACATTCTGACCATTTGAATAGAACCGTCTATTTGAATTGTCAGAATATATAATGTTGTTCTATAAATGTGTAAATTCTTTATTATGAATATAGAATGTTGTGGATCTGAAGATTTGATTAAAAATCCCAAAAAACATTTAATCCCAATAAATATCCTGACTACTTTAACTGTTTTCAAGTGTCTTTTTTTACATTTATAAACATTTCTTTCTATACAGTGAAACCTCACATAAAAAGCACCTTGCATAATGAGGAAAAAAGATTGTAAAATAATGACTTGCTTAACAAACAATGTTTTGCATAATGATTGACGAGGAGAGGGGAAGTCCCGGAATGCGCACATGCTCCATCAGTCTGCGTTTAGCACTCGTTCTGCNTGCCCGATGATGTTTTACCGAATTATAGGAGTTTTTTTACCATGTTTGTACGGATACCATTTCAATTTTTTCGCCGTCATATAGGAATCCGAACTATAGGAACCCGTGTTATAGGGGGGTCGACTGTATTTGAGTATTTTTTTTGGCATGGAATTTTACATTAATTTATATGGGAAAATTGTTTTGTTTAATGAGTGATTCACATTATGAGTAAGATTCTGGAACGAATTATGCTCGTTAAGCAAGGTTCTACTGTATTTTATGAATAAATGAAGATTTCCATATTGATCATGTACAATATTTTTATTAAGTTTGAAATAACAATTAAGTTTGTAATAACTGCTCTTCATTTTGTTAAGTTGTCTTCTTGTAACCTAATTAAAATTTTGATGTGTCAAAACATTTTGATATGAATTTAAAAAGTTCTAAAAAAAATAACATTTTAAAATTTTCGGTTTAATTTATTAATATAAAACCTGCCAAACAATCTGCCAGATTATTTTGATTTGGTTATGGTTTTATTGGTATATGGCAATGAGACACATGGGCAATCTGTTGAGTGGTAATACTTCTTGGGAGGTCTTTTATGAAAACTGGACCCTATTTAGATGTTACAAATATGAAGAAAACCTGAAAATTCCATGTGGCTGCTCATTGGCAAAGCCTGAACTCATGACAGACTACCAGTGTTTGGTGATTTTATCCACTCAGCTACTGGTAGACTGATTATTCATCAGATTATATTAAAGACTAACATATTAATTAAATATAAAGCAATTTGGTTACAGGAGAGAGGTCATGCCACCATTTTGCAATAAATTTAATAATTAGAAATAAAATCAGATTGCTCTTTATGGTATTATTGTAAAAAATCATTTATTATACTTTTTATGAATGTTAATTCTTCATATTATTTTTTTTTTTTTTAGTTTTTATATTAAAGCAATGAAGTTTTTTTTCTGATTACAGAGATATTATGCAGTCCACCTTTACCATTAGAAAATGGTAAAGTCATAACATCTCTCCGAAAATACAAACCCAGTCATAAAGTGCAATTCAAATGTGATGATGGTTACAAGTTAGATGGAGCTTCGTATTTAATTTGTGGAAATGATGGACAATGGAATCAAAGTCAACCAGTTTGTCAACCGAAATCCTGTGAATCTCCTCCACGTGTTCTTCATGGTCAAGTTGTTGGTCAACAACAGAAGTTTGAAGTAGGCAGCGTAGTTTATTATAAATGCAATAATGGTTACATGATTAGTAATTCAAATGCTGTGAAATGTGCCATCAAGAGTCGTTGGGAAGGTGACATTCCACGTTGTGAAAGAGTAAATTGTGGCCTTCCTCCAGTTATACCAAATGCAAATTATGAGGGAAGAGATCATAAATTTGGAGGTGTCATAACTTACAGGTGCGAACTTGGTTACGAACTTGTGTCAAATGGTGAAATAAGCTGCTTGGAAAATGGAGTTTGGTCCAAACCTATTCCTCACTGCAAACCTGTTAGTTGTGGCAAATTAGTTACTCCTGAAAATGGATATATTCAAGTTAACAATTATACATTTAGTAATGTTGCAAAGTATTTCTGCAACACTGGATATGAATTGCAGGTAAAAATATGTCATTTAAGTGTTATATTATGATAGTATACTATTTCCAATGCTGTCTTACAACTATCAAACTTTTCATTATTCAAAATTTAAAATAAATGAATTAAAAAAACTGTAAATTCACAGAAAGTTTTAAAATTTCTGATAAATACCTCTTAAAATTAAAAAAATTATAATTATTTATGAATTTTCAAGGGCATAAGATCAAGGAAATGTCGAGCCACAAGAGACTGGAGTGGAGAGTCACCTGTTTGTGTTCCTGTTAGCTGTAGTCAACCTGAATCCATCCCTAACGGAAAGTATGCCAAATTTATTTACAGTTGAACTTTTTCATAAACAAAGTTAATCAGATAATGTTTGATATTATTATCTTTAGTTTAATTAATTAATTAAGTAATATATCAATGAATAACAAAGGACAGCATTTATTAACTTTTAAAATATTATAGATAAAAATATAAAACCATTAGAATTCATTCATTTGTAATGATTTATTTGATGAATACAGATAAAAAAGGCAAGAAAATATTGCAGAAAAACCATCATAAACTAGTGAGAATTATATTTTCAAAACTAAAACTTTGTTAGATTTAAATGCATTTACAGGTAACCCCCATACAACATTGAATTAGAATTGGGTAAAACCCTCATACAACATGAAATGTAATAAATTTTCACATACTTAAGTACTAATAGTTCACGAAAATTATTATTTTCATGAACTATTTGTACTTAAGTATGTAAATTTTCTTTTCCGCCTTCTGTCAATACACATAATCCTTCTCGAAACTTGTTTCAGTGTTGCCAGATCTTGACGCTTCTGATTTTGTGTTGCCAGATGTTTTCCCTTATTCCATACTTGCTTTATTCTTCATAAGTGCTTAGTGCCATATAAGGAAATTTATAAAGATCTTTTAACTAAAAGCAAGTAATTTAAAATAACATATTTTTTTGCAAAAGCTAGAGCATGGATCTGAAGATAATGCAGAAAAATGCTCAGAGGATAAGGATATCTTGCCAAAAAGAAAACGCCCTTGGTTAATAGTGTTTAGTGATGATGAAGAAAACATTGTTTAATTTATATTAATATGTATCGCTTAAGAAAATTTTAATAAAGATATTTATCTTAATTATGAAAATATAATAGCATGCTTTTTAATTTTTGGAACCTAACCCTCCTTTTCATACTAGTTCTTTGTTTCGTATAACACGGATTTGCATAACATGGCAATTTTTTGGTTGGAACATTAACTCCTGTGTTATATGGGGGTTACCTGTATTTACATTATTGTTAAAATTATTTTTTAGTATTTTTTATCTTTTCCAATTAAGAATATTCTGTTTTTCGTTGTGCATTCACTGCTTTTTAATCCCAATATTCTTTTATTTATATAATTATAAGTGAGAATATCAAAGTTATGAGAATTTTATTCTTATGAGAGAATATTTAGTCATTTTCCTCGTCTCTTTCTAAACTTTTCATTCATTATTAGCTTTTCCAAATTATATGTTACTATATCTAAAATAAAAACAATTAGCTTTTTCACAGATGAAAAGGTAAATTCCAGTTTTACCTTTTTAAATCATTCAGGCTATTGCCTTGTCTATCAAATTTATTCATATTTGTCTTATATGGCAGTTTTTCTTTTTCAATGTTATCTTTACATGTTCTTGCAATTCCAGAAATTCTTTAGAATCTGTTAAACCTATATCCATATCATCACCTATGTTTAAGTTGGATTACATTTATACAAATACTATATTCTACACATTATTGTAGGTCAAGATTTTCTACAGTTAATCTTTTCTTCTCCAACAGTAATTGATAACTTGGTTTGCCCATGCTGGTTGGACCTCTCACCCATAGAATTAGTATTGTGAACTCTGATGTTGAATATCTCCAGTTACAGTCAAAATTTTAAATGTTTGCATCATGACCTAGACCAAGATGGATTCTATTTGTATGCAAAAAAATTACTAAAATCAGTTGAAGTTCAGGCGGAAGTTAATTGTCACACAAACATTAAAGTCATGACTAATTTTTGAGCAGATTGAGGCGCTCTGCCTCAATATGCTCAAAAATTTTGAAAAATCTTCAACCTGTACCGTTTACTTTAATACTAGTAAAATTGTCAAATTCCAAGTACAGGGTATTCCAAAACGAATTCCACCATTTTAAATGACTGTATTTATGTTAATTATTATCCAAGAAGTATATGACATACACAATTGATAAAGTAACTGCATAAGTTTCACCTCCCATCTGCATTCAAATGTCTCTAGTTATATTTATATGTAATTATTGTGGCTGTATGCCATATTTTATATAGGTTTTATTTTAATTTTTGTATAGTTTCTCTTCTTTCTTCCTTCTATTTCTGTCCCTTCCAGAAAATTCTTTCTCAACCCTTTCTACTTGGGTGGTGATGATTAATCCTTTGCTGAGACATTGAAAACATTGGACTTAAGAAGTGTGCTCTCTAGTTTGTTTTGGCAGCGAATAGAGATGGAAAAAGACCTAAGCAAGAATCAAGACAAATTTGGTAAAGAGAAATCATAGAGACTTCCAACCATCATCAAAGCAAATTTGACGAAAACCATAATTTATCCATCATCTCCAAGAAAGGAAACAATTTGGACTTCTTATCACCCCAAGATCACCATCAACAATTGGGTATCCACTTTCACCTATCCATATTTCTATTGTCCTTTTTCGTCTACTGATTTCCTTCTTCCTTAGATTTGGTTAGTTGTAAGTATTTAGTTGTAGTTCATTTTATATTTTTGTAAAATATTCGGTAATTATTGGTGTTGAGAGAGTAGTGTTAATAACTTCTCATTCTCTCTTCTTTTGTATGGTGTATATTGTAAATTTGTATACAGGGACTGAGAAGAGCTGGTATTCCAAAGAACTGATATACTTTATGTGAAATAAAGATATTATTATTTAGTAACGTATCTTTGTAATTATCATTTCACACCTATCCTCACGTTATATAATGTTTTCTTATAAACATGTATAATATTTAATAAGTTTGGACTGATTACATTCTTGATAAATTTCAATTTAATTTTAGATTTGTCGGGAATGATTGGACAGTGGGAAATATTGTCACTTACAGCTGTCATCCTGGATATATGTTAAAAGGTGAAATGGAAAGAGTCTGCTTGGAAAGCGGTCAGTGGTTACACGAAACGCCAATGTGCGATCCCATCGAATGCTCTCCTCCCGACCATGTGCAACATGCCCGCATTCATGGAAAAGATTATCATTTTGGACACCGAGTGGAATATCAGTGCGAAATTGGATATGAACTGATAGGTCAAGCCATAAGAGTGTGTTTAGAAGATCAACACTGGGGTCCTGAACCACCAATTTGTAGACCTGTTTCTTGTGGTCGTCCAATCCAGGTAATTAATGAATTAATTGTTAGTTGCTTGTTGGAGATTAGTAAAAACTGATTAGACTTGTGTAACTGGTTATGTAACAAAGAATACAAAAAGATTACACTGTATTGACTCTATTAGACTAAATGTTGATTTTCGGAGAGATTAGTAAAAAGGCAGTTGGATTAATGTAACCAGTTGTGTAACAAAAGAACAAAGAGTGCACAAAGATTACACACAGTCTTTACTCCCAGAAGGTCAGCGCTAGAAAGGGGAGAGTGAAACGAGGTCACCTTGCCCGAGGGGTCAAGAGCGCCACCAACCTTTTATTATGTCAGAACATTACAAAACATCGCAATCATTGATTCCAACACACTCCCTCAATGATTGATCATTAATACAATTTGATATCGCGAATAAATTTCTTAACCTTATTCACGTCTAGCGGCTTTGTTAACAGACTGGCCGTCATCTGTTCACACGGACAATAGATTACAGTAATTTCTCTCGAATTTTTTAAATCATGTACAAAATGGTATTTTGTGTCGATATGTTTCATGCGCTGTTGTGCTTTTCCTAATTCTAAAAGTCGAATACAACTTTGATTGGCCTCAAATATTTTGATAGGTGCTGTAATCGGTAGACTTATTTCTTCTAGAAGTCGTTTCATCCATACAGTTTCTTGGGTAGTTTTTGCCAAGGCTACATACTCTGCTTCGGTGGACGAAAGTGCTACACACTGTTGCTTTTTACTAACCCAATGAATAGGACTTCCTTTTAGCAAGAGCAAATATCCTGTGTTTGATTTGCGGTCTATACGATCACCTCCCCAGTCAGCGCCTATATAACATTTAAGTTCTAACTCTTCATCAATATTTCCTTTTTTAAGTTTCTTCTTTTTTGTCAAATTCAGATAATGAAAGATTCTTTTTACTTCCACCCAATCACTCCGAAAGTTTTGTTACTTTTCTCACTAATATTGATGTACTTATCGCAATATCTGGATGTGAGTTAGTCGCTAGATATAATAAAGATCCAATAGCACTTCTATATACATTGTTGTTTTTGAACGTATTGGGCATTTCATTTCTTCTTAAGTATCCTGTATCTATAGGAATATTGGTTTCGAATCGGATAAGTTAAATTCCCGCAATTTATTTTCAATATATCTTTCTTGATGGAGTGAAAATATTCCGTTCTCGTCTCTTTCAAATTGTATTCCCAGATAATATTTTAAGTCACCTAAATTCTTGATTTTAAACATTTCTTTCATTTCAATCTCAAATTCGGTTAACATATGTTTGTCTGTGGCCATTGCTATTACGTCATCTACATGAATTGCTAAATACAAGCATCTTTCATGACTTCTGGTATAAAGACAGAAATCAGCTGCACTTTTTCTAAATCCTTTAAATAGCATAGTTTAAGTGAATTTTTTATTCCATTCATTTACTCCTTGTTTCAAGCCATAAATATTTTTTAATAATTTGCATACCATGTCTGGCAGTTCTTCTTCATATCCTTCAGGTTGTTTGATTTATACCTCATGTGATAAGTTTCCATTTAAGTTAACTGTTTCAATGTCATAATGCTTAACTTTCATGTTCTTAATTCCAGCTATAGTTAAGAGTGTTTGTTGGGTGGCAGTTTTGATCATGAGGGCATATACGTCATTGTAGTCAAAGCCATACTTTTGTATGTACCCTTGAGCAACTAAACGAGCCTTAAAATGATTAACTTTATTGTTTTTGTCTCTCTAATTTTGTATACCCATCTGCTTCCTACTACAGTTTTAACTGGAGGTAATTTCATAATTTTTCATGTGCCATTATGTTTCATGGTGCTAGTTCCTTATCCATGGCTTCACTCCATTCTTTGGAATGTTTGTCTTTGATTGCCTCGCTATATTCTCTCAGTTATACTGCATCCTCTGTCACTGATAAATTTATTATTTCAATTAACCTTATGGCAGGTACTCCCCTAGTAGTTCTTTCTGATCTTTTTAAATGTATACCAGTTTCTTCCATTTCTTGTTTCCTTGTTTTTGTTTCATATTCTTCTTTTAAATTAGTATTATTAACTATTGTAACTTGTTTTGAATTTTCATTATCATCGTGTATATCGATTTTGGAGTCTTTGTGCTTGACATTTTCCAGAAAGTGAACATTTCTGCTTATTGTTTTTGTGTCAACTAATAGATAAGCTTTTGATGATCTCTTGTATCCTACAAAAATTAGTTTTGTGACTTTAGGTTCTAGTTTCTTTCATGTTTCTTTAGGTTTAATAACATAGGCTGAGCATCCGACAATTCTTACATGCAAGAGGTTTGGCTTCTTTCCATGCTATTTTTCATATGGAGTTGTTTCACTTGCTTTAGTAATTAATCTATTCTGTAAGTAATTTGCATTATTCACCACTTTTCCCCAGTATTTGTTTGGTAATCCAGAATCAATTAACATCAGTGGCATGCCATCCTTGGAAGTGGTGGAAGCGCTGCTTTCCATGTATTTTCTAAAATATAAATTCGTATTGTGCAATTATTTTCATATTTGAACATACTTTGAATTAATTAAAACTAATATTTTATTATAACCTCATTGTGTCTCTTATTACAAATTTCTATACCTCACATGAAAAAAACGTTAAGATTGCTATTGTATATTCAAATATCAGTGGCAGAATGGAAGCGCTGTATTGTTGAATATGGGACAGTTCCCACAGTGAAAATATCTGAATGGTGTAAAGCAGCTAGATTATATGCATTTGCACATGCACTTTACAGAGCACCAACCTTGCAGTTTAGCTGGTGGATGTTATACACCAGGGATGGTTAACACGTAGACCACGGCCGACCAGTCGACTGCAAAGGTTTTGAAAGTAGCCCGCGAAGCTAAAGTTGAACAATTTGCTTTTACTTAAATTAATGTTTAAAAATCTTAATTTGATAATTTATTCTTACAATAATAGACTGTCTGTGCAATATACCCATACTGTTTGTATTTATCCCGATGAACATTGCAAATGAATGTTAACACATCCACATATAAAAATCCTAAAATTATTTGCCCGTATTTATAGTCGCCCACAGACTACATTTTACCAAAAAAGTAGCCCCTAAGGGATAAAAGTTTGGCCACACCTGCTATACATCAAAATATCATATAACGCTTTCAATGATTCTATCCAGGGCTGTTAGCCGCCTGCCTGCTAGATATTTGGCCGCCCTCGCTCCATTATGTGAATCATAAGTAGATTTATAACTTAACCCAACCAATAGGAGTTTACTGGTATAGTTCTGTATAAGTTGACGGGAGTTTTAAAAAAATCCATTAAAATATTTGATGTATTTATTCTGCTTTCCCATCTTGAATTACTTACAGATTTCATTGTTAAACTAGTGATATTACGATTTAGTATATCCCATCTATAAGCAGATGTAAAAAAGAAGATTCTTGTACAATGTTAAAAAATTAACTGTTATTTTGGTAGCATCATTTACAACAAAATTTAATGAGTGAAAGAGATACACAAGGTACAAAAAAAATCTCTAGAATTTATTTTCCTTAAATTTACGATTTATGTATCCATGTTCATAAAAATTTGTCTTTCCACTTCTTTCCCAAGACTACAAATATTCAAGTTCAAAGTAACCTATTTCAATGTATTTCTACTTAAGAAGTACTTAAATAATTAAGAGATTATGGAATTAGGGACATAAATAAAACTCTGCTGAAAGAGCCGGAATTTTACTTAAACAACTTAACTGAACCAATCCCTAGCTGAGTGCAGTGGGGACTGATTTCTTCGTAATATTAGATGTAATAAAGACAGAAATTTTTCCAGTTTAACGAGAGTGACTGAAAAGTTTTAAATGGAAATTTCCATGGACACCTGATCCTAAAACGAATTAGTTAGAAAACAAATGACGGACAATCTATTAAGTTTAACATATGTAGATTTTTACAGCTATGGTGAGAAACATTTAAAATTTAAAACAATCCTGTTGCGTCCTTTGGGGTATTCCAGCGATGCGACAAAAGAGGCATTTGACATTGACCAGTATCAACACCCTTAGAATTTGGCAGCCCGCGTGCATGCATACACTGCACACCTACCAGGACTGTCTTCGATTCCATCCATTAGCCACTTGTAGTGAGCTATTTGACTAAGTGCATTGTTTTAAAAAGAAGGTTTTATGTTATTTTTATGTATGTTTCTTTACAAAGCTATATTTAATTATAATTTTCTTTNCCTTTACATAGCCCAAGAATTTGGCATATCGTTTAGCATGTTTATCAGACATATTATCTGTGATTTTTTTATTTTCTGCAAATCGAATTCGCATTTCAGGTTGGTTCATTCCACGCTAGAAGAAATGATGATGATTCACACTCCTTAACAATTGTGAGAATCTGGAAATTCAGGAGAGGGTCATTTTGAAAATTAACAAAGTAGAGAAGAAGAATTATAAAATTTAAGAGAAAATAATATTTTTAAACTTTAATGAATTTTACAAAAAACGGATGAAACTCTCATTTTTGAAAGGAAGTTTTCCTTTCCCAAGCCAACTCATGATGAGTCGTATGAGTTTTGCATATGTTACTAGAGAGCAAATAAAAGGGACATTTTCCCGCTATTTGAGGCAGTCCGTCGAAAAGAGGTTGCCACACAAAAAGAGCTCGCCATAAGATAAAGACAGTCGTCATACAAAGTTTACATCATACAAGTCCGTTATACGAATCAGTTAAATGAAAGTTATAAATATATAGCAATAAACGAAGTATACGACAAGATTGTTAAAAGAGAAGTTATTTAAAGGACTTTCCAAAGAAACTGTTAGAAGAAGAATACCAAGAATTGAAGAAGACCCTCATTCAGAGAAATATTCGAAAGACCTGGTGAAGGTAATATGATCAGAGACAGATTGATGTGAACTCTCTCTCACACGTCAGGTTTAGAATAAGATTAGGTTAAGTTAGTAGTTTAGGTTTATGTTTAGGTTCATTCTTTTGTATATTTTTATA